GTATCCACAAACACTCCAATAAATAAATAGAATTGAAACGACACTTTGAAATGTTTTCCCGATGAAAATGAATAATAATAATAAGTTTCAATAAAAATAATAAAATGTAAATTGAATTTTATCATAACGAGTTTGCTTGAATTTCCTTTCTTCTGAGATCGCAGCAATGCGCGACGGGTAAGCTAGTCCTGTATAAATTTTAAGGAGAAAATGGTGTTGTCCAATGGTCTGGCAGGCCCTGTTCAACACAACATTATAGTCATTAGTTGAATGATCGTTATGCACATGACAATGCTTATGAAGCATTAAATTCACATTTATATTTTCAAAGATTGTTCGAATTATGTTGATTTTAAAATTTTTACAGGCAAGCAATAGATCCAATAACTTTCCATTGGGTAACCATTCAGTTGCATCTGAAGAAGAACTCAGGAGTTAAAAAACATTTGTGCAATGTTCATTTTTTGTATTATATGCATTGGATATTGGGTCTGTGACCGTTGTTACATATATCCCAATGTGGAGTGGTGCATATATTCATTTGATTAATCAGTTCAATTATTACATATATTACTCTCATTCTTTCTTTCCTATATTATGCAAATAATTAAATTTTAAGTTATATCAAACACTTTCTTAAAAAATTTGTTTTTTAAATATTTGTTTAAAAAACTATCTTAAGATTTTATCAGGACCTTAAAACCTTACTTAGTAACCTATTAATAATGCATGTATCTGAATTATAAATGACAAACTTAACTTACTTTTTAAATTATTAAGTTATAGTTTTAATTGAGAGGCAAAGTTACCTATGCTTCTCAATTATTTTGTTTTGAAATTTTTAACCGAAACAAATTTCAAAAATATGCCATTCATAGTAGAGTTTTAGCAATGTGGATTGTAAGACTGATAGTAAATCATTTTTTTAAAAAAATTCAAATTTTTGATGATAAAACAATTTAACGTTACAATATAATTACAATATTAACAATTTAATACTGTAATGATCACATGTACATTCTAGAATTAGAATGTTAAGCTTTATAGATCTGAAGCAGATCTATAATTAGATTGAAAACATTTGTCAAAGTTGAATTAAAGCTTGCTGGTTTTAAAACTAAGGTTAATAGTTGTTTGTGTTGAAAAATAACTCTTGTTTTTTCAATTTTGAGTTTTAATCTTTAACTCTCAGCACCATCCTTGTACTTCCAGCAAACACATTAATTACAAATATTTTTGGCATATTTCATAAGCCTGTGTCAGGTTGCACACACTAGCTTCAATTTATTAGAAATTGGAATGTTACTGGGTAAGTGACATCATTTAATTTTTAAGATATAGAATGTCCTATATTTCTCATGCATTTGTAATTAAAAACATAATTTAAAAAATGTAATATACTATATAATTATGATAAAACATAACAGTAAATAATTCTAAGACAAATAATAATATACATTTTTCTACATGTTGCAGTGATTTGTCCATCTTGTGATGAAATGTTTTTACATGGATTATTGTACAAAGTTTGCCATTAAATATTTCTAATGTTTTTAACATTTGTAGTTTATGTTCCTCATACACATGCCATAATAATTTGGTCTGGTTAAGGTTTGTAGATACCCCGGCTTCTGTTGCCTGGGGTATCTACATATTATGCATATTGTACTAAAGTATAAGAACTGGATTATTGTTATCACTATCATGTTTATGATCTGCCAGTCTGATTTATTTTTATTTTTATTTAAATAAGAAACCAAAAACAATTTTACTTAACTTACTTAAAAGTGCTTATTTAAAATTTTAACTTTATTTCAATTATTAATAACAATCCAATCAAATCTTACCTGAAGTTCACACCAAGCAACAGCTACTCCCGTAGAAGTATCCAGTCCTTTATAAACAGTTTTAAATGATCCTCGACCAATCTCTTCTTCAAATTTCAAAAATCTTCCATCTGGAGAAGTATCTCTTGCTTTTACTGCTTCATCTTCTTCTAAAGTTAATTCACTTACTTCACTTTTACTCATATCCTCCAAAGTCTTTTCAAGTGAAAAATCTTTATGTGGAAAAACACCACCTTCATTTAAAGAGACAGAAGGTGAAGCAGATTCTTTCCTTGGATTATCATGTACTTTTTTAATGTCAGTAGGAACTTCACCTTTTAAAGTTTGAAGATTACTATTATCACTTAATTTGTTATTAATGCATGAACCAATTTGGATATTTTCAGATATCATATTCTTATTACATTCTTCAAAGGTTTTTGCATTAATTTTATTACTACCAAATTCTACAAAATTATTATTTTTTGTTACTTTTGATTTCAGACATTCCTCTTTTTCTATATTCTGAGATATTGGTTTTTTACATATTTCTTTCTTGACAACTGATGAATCTAATTCTTGATTTGCACTAGTTTTGCCAACATCAGATTTTATAGATTTTGATGGAGAATTAAATTCGGATGTAGCCATATTCTCTTTCTTATTGGCTTTGCAGTTTTTTAAAAACATACCATTGTGAACAACTGCAGATGATTCTTTTTTTATATTTTTATGTTCTGTTAGATTTGTTAATTTAGATTTTACAGAATACTGAGATGACTTTTCACCTTTTAACTGTGCTTTTGTATTGGAATTGCCTAACTGATTATAATTACTATTTTTAAAGATATTTGTTCTGACTTTATTTGTGATACTGTCAGACAAGGTCGGTAGATGTTGTTTTACGAGCGATGTAGACTTTAAGCAACTGCTTGAAATCGCTAGATAATCCGATTTATTTTTTGTTATTGCTTCTAAATTTGATGTGCGATTTGAATGTCTCAATAAATGGGTTTGGGAAGACTTTGGTAAATTTAATGGTGAAAGTATAGGTTTGTTCCCCGAGCAGGAGTAATTAGCCTGAGGATTAACTGTTATGGAATGTTTCAATACTTCTCTAGAAGGTGCAATTACATCCGTTCTCGAAGATTGACGACAGTCATTTTGCAGCGTATTTTTCACTTTCCTCTTTAGCATATCGAATCATAAATGTAACAGTTATAATCTATAAAACAAAACAAAAAAATTAGCTAAAAAGATTTTTTACATAATTTTATTTAAACAGAAAGATATTAATTCAATAAATTATTAAAAGTTACTTATAAAAGTAATATTTTATGTTGAGCACATACAAAATAATTATCTTATAACAACAATTCTCACATAAAATGCACACACATTGCATTCCTACAAAAATTTTCATATTCATAGCAAAGGACTTTGAATTTGATCTTTAAGAATTAAAACTAATTTACAAATAAAAATAATAACAAATATAAATAAATATTAATAGAATAGAAAAATAGAAAGCATTAATGTACATAATTATCTAAAGCAGTTTCTCAAAATTGGTATGTATACCACTGGTAAACATGCGCCATACTAAATTTTTAAAGAGCCAATTTAATTTGAGCCAACATTCCATGTTGGCTTGAATTGAAACGAAATATTCACATGTTCCCAAATGAAAAATTTGAAAATTAATAAATTACATTTAAAAATTTTTCTGAACTGTCTCAATTAAACTGCTAATTAGAAGTTTTATTATCATTTTATAAACATTATTTTTCTTAAAGTAGGAGACATGGTTGCTGTATCTTCAAATTCTGTGTGTAGCGTCTTTGCAATCCAAACAATAATTTTGGTAGATAATCAAACAGCAATTAGTTAGAAAAACATTACAGTTTGTTTAAAACACTTTCTTAAATTCACCTTGTTTTTTGTAATTTTAACAACACTGAAGAGGGGTTGGGAATACGAGCCAACCCAAAATGCATCTGAATTTAAGAAAGTGTTTTAAATAAACTGTAATGTTTTTCTAACTAATTGCTGTTTGATCGTCTACCAAAATTATTGTTTAGATTGCAAAGACGCTACACACAGAATTATTTTTCTTTATTTATCATATTTTTTTTGTGGACTTACTATAAAATGAAAAATATTAACATGAAAATGTAACTCAAACTTTAAACAACATATTGACCAAATGGATTTTTAATGGATACTGAACATCTATCTAGAAACTGTTTGGAACCTGAAGCAAAGCCCAGATGAGGTTCCAAAACATTTGTTTATCAATCTTTTTATGTGATCACACCGTAAATGATTCTGGTATGTAAATTTTTTATGAAAATGTATTTTAAAAAATAAGAAAAATATGGCTGTTTTCAAAAAAAAATAGTAATAATGAAAAAGTCAGTCAAAAATGCTAAAAAGTTTTCTTCTTACAAAAAATAAGTGCATTTCTTAAATAATTTTTCAGAAAAACTTGTACATCATTATCATAAATAGATTTTGTGTTTTTGGACATCAAAACATCTGTCAGTTAGCACCCTATGCAAAAATTAGGTCATTTGCAGCATTGAATAATAGAAATAAAATTGAAGTCAAAGTATTATATCAAGTTTATAACTGTACTGTACATGCTATTCTATGATGATGAGCACTTTTTATTTAAAAAGTTTTTACGTTATAAGTTTAATGTTGTGGGGCAAATTATATAGTAAATCTATTTAATTACTAATACTTGTATGATTTAATTTGAACATTGCAAATTACTTAGCAATTATTAGTAATTGGTTTATAAATTTGTGTTTTATTTTCTGTGCAAAAATTTTTGGGGAAATTTTACGTCCTTAAAATATTCTGTTTTCTTGATAAGACCATGTATGATCTGTAACTCTCTCTCTGTAAGATAGTGACACATTAGCTGTCAGATATATCTAGCATGCTTAATATATCATTTTCCTTGTTAACCTGTTAAGCATCGTACCTTCCATCCAAACTCACAGTAATGTAACAACTTTCAAAAACATACATCATTAAGAATTAATGTAAAAAATCACAGACCTGCTATTACTTGAGCCAAAGGTCACTTAATTTTGAGATGACTATCAAATGGTATGCATTTCTACTATTTAATTGTTTGCTGCTGACAATAATAATGCCACAAAGATTTTATGAAACAACCCATAAGCAGATCAGTCGTTTACAAATTTTTCTAGGACTCTGAATGTGCCTCAGAGTGTCATATTCGAGCTTTGGCCAGATTTCAAAGAACAGAAAATGTTGAATGTCATTAGGGAAGAGGACGTCCAAGAGTTACTCCTCTCTGACAAGACCACTATTAATGGTTAATATATTCAATGGTTCATTGCTTAATGGTTTCAATGGGCTCCACATTTGCACAAGGAGTGCCACTACTGAAAGTATAGAGACAATTTTGGAAGCCCAATGACTTTTCCCATGATGCTATGGATGCAGATTTAATTTTCATGGATGATAATATCTACACATATAGGACTACGCTTGTCAATAACTTCCATCATAGTGAAGATATATTCATTGCTTGGGATAAACAGCGAGATGAATCATATAGCACCTGTATGAAGTAAAATGTATGGAATGTTTTAGTAGCAACTTGTCAACTCCATCAAATACATCCAGGGATTTCAAGATGCTCTTGTTCAAGAATGGACTTTGCTCCCAGCAGAGCCAATAAACAATGTTATAAGCAGCACAAGCAATCACTGCGTAGCATGTGTACAATTATCATAAATTTATGTTGATAAGAAAAAACTAATACTTTTCAAGATTCTTGATAACTTTTCTCTAGCAACTGTAACTAATGTAGGTACAACCATTTATTAAACATTCACTTCGTATTAATTTTTTCCTAAAAGAGTACATTACCATATAAGCAAATGTGGCTGTATGCCATACAGTGGCCTGCCATCCATGGAAGTTGTGGAAGCACTGTTTCCCTTTTATTTTCTAACATATAAATACAAATTGTGCAGTATAATGTACAATATAAATACATATTGTGCAATTATTTTCATATTTTAATGTACTTTGGATTAATTAAAATGAATATTTTATTATAATCACAATATGTATCTTATTACAAATTTCTATATTACATGTGAAAGAAATGATATGATTTCTATTGTATATTCAAATATAAATTTGTATATGAATATTCCCAATGGAAGTGCCGTATTTTTGAATATGAGATAGCTTCCACGGCAAAAAGATTTTGTGTAAAGCAGCCAGATTATATGCATTCACACATGTGTTTTACAGAGCACCAACTTTATGCAGTTTAGCTGGTGGATGATACACACCAAAACATCATATAACACCTTCAATGATTCTATCCAGGGCTGGCACAGCTTCCCCATCATCAAATGCCAACACATGCCACTGATGCCATAGTCTATTTTAGTTAGTACTTTATTTTTTTGGTATTATTCTCCTGTTCTTTGTCCTTTCACATTTTCTCAAACTTTGTAAAACTTCCGTAATATCCGAGTGCATATTCTAAATGCAACCAAACACAACATGTGTAATGGGAATTTCAAATCATGCAGTGGAATTCACATATTTGTGTAGTAATTAATTGTCCAATTCTGGGTATTATTTCTTTCTTCTGATTAGGCTGAAGTTAAAATATTTACCTAAATTAAGCAGTGTATGGTAAAATCTGTCCAAAACAGAACCCAAATAAAAAGGAAACTAGCCTAAATGGAAAAATTCTTCAAAACAGAGCAGTTTTCTATGTTAAAAAAAGAACCCATTCAAAACAGAAACCTGCCAAATTGGAAAAATATTCAGTATCATACAAACTGCAGTTTGCACAGCTTTTTACCGTATAGTCTATTCAGCCCAGGAAAAAAAAAAGCTTTGGAAAGAATGTTGGTGGGGTTTACCATTTGCATCAAATATATACAATAGATATTTTTTTTATGCAGCTGCAACATCATTATCATCATTTAAACTATAATTCATAACCACAGTGCACTTATAGTGAATTATATCACATGCAGTTACAAAGTGCACACTGCACATGTCTAAAAATTAAGATCAAATGGTGATTGAATTCAATAAATAATTATCTAAATATATGAAATTACTTGTCCTGACTGACTGACTCATCATCACCCAGAGCAAACCGCTGAACCTAGAGGTGAAATTTGGTATGTCATGAAAACTCACACTAAGAAGAAATTTTTTGAAATTCCCCCGTGGGGGGAGGGAGAACATTAAGGCATAACCTGAAGAACGGCTTCTACTGTACTATTTTACATGCGATTTTTAACTATGTTTAGTCTTCATTGAGTACTTAGATGTATTAACTCGATAACATTTCAGACATTGTTATAAATATTTTCATATATTTCGATTTTTTAACCAAATGTTTTAACTGTTTTAAATTCAAATTTATTGCATATTGGTTCAATTACAGAACAATTGATCAATTTTCTGGAATGTTTACAAATTGAAAACAGTTCGTTTGATTCTCAGCAATTCTTATCATTCTCAGCAGTAGATGTTATATAACAATTACTATGGTTGTTGAAATACTGAATATAAATGGTGGTTGTTTGCAAATTCCTGCAGGCAAAGTCACTGGTAACAGCTAGTGGATATATAAGATCTGATAATTGTCTTTATTTTCCATTTATGTATTTTAGAACAGTTTATTAATGCTAGGATTTATTGGCTTGGCTGAAACAAAACTGATATCTTTGCAGTAGGAAAAATACCTTAGAATAAGATCAGTAATATCCTTCCTCCTTGGAGATGAGGGTCACTTCCAGGAAGAGCCAGTTCAATTAGTGGAGAAGTGCCAAGGGCACAAGAGAGAGAAGAGGATCAGTTTGTGGTTTGAGAACCAGGTGAGAGGAAGAACTCAAAGAAGGAGCATGTAGCCATCTGTTACCGGAGTGTACAGTTGAACTACAAACTTCAGGAGAGGATCATGGAAAATACCGGGAGGAAATTATGATGAAGCTTATTAATTACTAATCATATTCTGAGTGACAAAGAATTCCCCTTTTCACTGATCTGTAGTGTACGTGTGGTGCTGGATCCAACTTGACCAGTTTCAACTTCTGACTAAAGAAAAGATAGTTTGATGGTAAGAGTCAAACAGTAGACCAAGGAGAGAAAAATGTGTTTCACAATAAAGGAATTTCCTTGTGGACTATCAAGATGACAAGTACCTTTGTTCTTGTCTATCCTCCATCTTGAATACTTCTTGTCCTCTTATCTTAATTTCTTAACCCTATTAGTTGTAAGTTTAGTCATAAGGATTAATTGTAAAGGATTTTATTTTTGTAACATTTGTTTTTCTTTTGTTTATTGTATAAATCATTAATATTGCAATTTTTAATGCTTTTTAGTGTATAAAAATTGCAATTATTTCTGTTGAGGGTCAAGTATCTCAGGTGACTGCCAGAAGATTATCCTAGAGTTGGCAACTGTTAAAGTAGGCCTACCTGCTGTAAAGAAATTCAATGTGTAATTAAACATTTTTTTCTTTCTCTTATCTATGGCACTGTTTATTTTTGAAATAATGAAACAAGAAAAAAATAGGGCTACCAATGATTACACATCTTATTTCACACATATTTATTAATACAATAATTGATCATGGATAAATTTTAACTTTTACCATTGATTATATTTGATTAAAGTGATTTTGATATACGTGGAAACATGAGGAACTAATTAATCTCATTAATCAAAAGATGCCTGTATATTCATTAAATATAGTTTGTTATTTAGATTTGTTAAGTAAATTCAAATACAGGTATCCCTCGTGTAACATGATAGTTACATTCTAAAAAAGTGCCAATCTAAATAAAATTTTGTTTGTCAGTCATATCAAGATAGTCTCCTTGCATGGGATATGCTCTATAAGTCAGTTTGTATTTTGGACTTACAGTATTTATTTATTCTATTACTATTTAGTACTCAAAAAATAAAAAATTAATTCACAACAAAATAGGTTTTAAAATACAGTGGGTGATCGGTTAACGAACATAATCCATTCCAAGATTTTGTTCGCTATCCAAATTGTTTGTTAACCGATTATCGATTTACCATAGGTTTTTATGGGAATTTGATTAATTCATTCTGGAAACCCCAAAAAACAAAAAATTTACACTTTCTTACTATGTTTATTTACTGTATATGTAATAACAAAAATACATACATACACAGTCCTGAATTTTTATTAGTCATGTTTTTTCCTTTTGTGGGGATTAAAGAAGCTGTCTAATGTCGATCGCCTTTCTGTCTTCTTCATGATTTTTCAGAAGTAATTAATAGTATTGTAATTGTAGAGATCCCAAGCCTATTAACATCAACCTGGTTTGGATGCCATTCTAAAACCGTTGTTCTGACATCTTCCCACTTCTTCAAAAGATCTTTAATAGAAGATATCGGCGTTAATCCTGTTTTTCAAAAGAAAACATATCTTGCCGAGTTTCTTGGTGTTTTACATTCAAGGGTTCTTGGCGTTCTTCTTCGTCAGATCCATTTCGGGTTCCATTATGAGCTCTTCAATGTTCTTTATTTCTCAGATGTGATTTTTGTTACTCCTTTAGCTGCTTGAGTCTTCTCGATAATACAGTATCTTTCTTAGATAAGATTGAACTGCGGCCTACTGTAGACCTGTTCGAGCCATACTGCCTAGCAACATCAGACATCTTCTGCCCACTCTCTACCTTTGCTATTATACTCTCACCTTTCAAAAATAAAAACCAACGCAAAACTTAACTAGTGCCCCACCCGACAGTCTCACAAATACTATAAAACAGTGTTTTTCAACCTGTGGGTTGCAACCCCAGGGGTTGCAAAGCCTTACATGAGGGGGTCGCGGGTGTAAGAAAAGACAAGTGTTTATAGGTCCTACACTACAATAAAAAAAAACTAGAATTTCAGTGAGAGGGCTGTGCCTGTTTATTTTACAGTACAATTGGTTTTTCAATCGATATTTAAAGAAAGAAAATTAAATACGTAGTTTTTAAAATCACTGATATAGTTTAAATATGGCCCTGGAGGGTCACCAGAATTTTTTAACTTGTAAAGGGATCACGTATTCAAGAAGGTTGAAAAACACTGCTGTAAAAGAATTGTTTCTGTCAGAAAAATAAAAGGCTAGAATTACAAGAAAGAGTTTCAAAGTTCAGAGGAATACTATTTGATCAGTATAAACCAGATTGAGCATCGATGTCAACATCTTGCACTCCGAAAAGTTTCGAATTGTTGCCCGAAGACAAGGGAAGACCAATCAGTATTAATTATTATATGTTGCTTTTTGTGTTTGTTCTGTGAGGTGTTCATTATCCAAACATGTGTTCGTTGACCAAACATAAAAATCTTTCACAAAAGTGTTTGTTATCCGATTTGTTTGTTAACCAATCACCCAATACATTCAATTCAGAAACTTTACATTTGTTTTTGGTTACTAGTTTTCTGTATGGCTAGGTTCTTAGAATTTTAACAATTAAACAACCTCATAACCGAGTTAAAGATACAGTAGAATCTTATTCAAACAGATTGTTTCGGCTGCCAAAAGTCACCTGTAGTTCTGAGAATGCATTATATTGCAAACAGATTTCTTGCACACATGGGTAAATATCCATTATTTGAACAAATCTCCATTTTTTAACCATCTACATGTAAGAAATACATGTAACTTTAAATTATTTAATCTCTTGATATGTCAACTCTTGATTCTATAGAAATATGTATGTTACAAGATCATATTATGTTGTACCTGTACACGACAAAGCTAACAAAAAGCTATATAGACTGTAACCACAAAAAGAGACCAATTACATATGCTCATGAGTACTTCACTTAATTTTACAATTTGCTTAAAAAATTTGTCTATATCAGTTTGTTTCGATGTCACTTTCTGCCTATTTCAAACAACAAATGCTCGATATTAGCAATGTTGTGTGCAATCTATTCATTTATGCCAAAACTCATCAGGAAGGTCTTCAAGACTTCCAGAGACTCAACGGCCTCGCTAAATTTCAGCGTGACACTTGGACCAGCGACAGAATGTTTTACCAGATGGTGGATTCGCAATCATATCAGCCTGCCAACAGTCTTTGTACATATTCCAAATATAACAGTCTTTGTACATATTCCAGTGCTTCATTCAATTTCCAGAAATACCTAAATATAAACTAAATGTTGGAAAAAAGCAAAGTTTACAATGGACAAAATCCCTCATTTGGCATTTCCAATCCACTAAAATTACATCCATTTGGGATCCGAGAAAAATGTTCATTATTCCGAGAAATTCATCATTCCACGATCCGTTAAAACAATATTCTACACTCGACACATATACACATGCATGGCAAGATCTTGTTTAATTACGTCGAGATAGACTCCAGGAAACTACAACATTAAGAAAAAACATCATCTAACCAATTTTACCAAAGGCTAAATGATATAAACAAGAATAAAGATGTTCCTATAGCATATTTCCAATCACAAAAGCATCACAAACTTCAAAATAAAGATGCAAACTCTTCTAATACGAAAGATCAAAATAAATGCAAGCTATACTTATCACATTTAAAAAAGATTAACAAAAATAAGTAAGATAATTATTTTGAGAATCTGCAAGCAGCAGTAGTCACAGCGGTAGCAGGTAGCAACAGAGAGCAGCCGAATACCCGTTGTCGGAGATCGGCAAAGAGAACGACAAGGAAATCCGCCCGCCACCGGGTAGTCCAACGACGAACGATCGGCAATTCCGGCAAACCGCAGGGGTCACCGTACGAATTTAAAGCAACGAATGCAGACGGGGAGAGTCCGCATCGACAGAAAGCAAAAGCATGGCGTGACGAATGCAAGTTACATCCATCAGATTTCAATTTTGATGGCACCGCTCTCTCAAGATTGCATCCCAAATAGACCGAGCGAAGTCTGACGCGCGTCCCGAATCCCGGCCGCCAAAGGAGGGGACGAAGGATCGCCAACGGATCCGTCCGCCAATCCCTGGGGAAGAGGAGGCCCATCCCGTCCCCTGAGCGGTAGAGGCGGTGAGAAAGGGAACCGATCGAACGAATCGGGTACGGTCCGCCGCGCTTTCCGGCCCCTAACGCCCCCCCGTCTTTCGAAAAGGCCGCCCTATCCTCCCGTCCGGTTTCGAACGGCACCGTCCGCCAGGGACGGCCGAACGATCGGCGAAGACGAGACGGCGCGCGGCCACCGACGGCTTTGGCGTGAAACGGGACGGATCCGGCTTTGCGCACGAGCCCCCGGTCCTCGGTCGTCCGAGAGAGGAATCGGGAACCCCATCGAGACAGGAAAATCGCGGAACGACGTTAAGACGAGTCGGACGGGAAGGAAATTCGACGGCGCCGAGGCCGACGAAGAAGGGCGCGCGTGGCGTCAGCGACGTAGGGGAAACGACGGGCACCTTCGGGCCCGCTGCGGTTTCGGACCGAACAAGCGTCGGGGAGAAGGGAAGAGGGGACTGGACGCGAAGGACGACGTCGGAAGAAGAGCGACTGACATCCGTGGAAGCGCGCGTGCCGGGTGGAGGGGAGAAGACGAGAGCCCCGACTCGCACCCACTAACCTGTGAAGGGCCAAAAAGCCAAACGACTTTCCGACGACGATTGAACTACCGACGGCCACATTCGACTTCTGTCTTCTTCGACGCACTCGTTTACGCTCCGGATCCCCCTGGCGGAAGAAACCGACGACCGCCGGAAAAAAAGCGCTTCCTGCCTCAGCGGGAATCCTGAATCCAAACTCTTCGTTTGTTCGGGAATCGATTTCGCCCCGTCGCTCCGCCGGAAGAGAATTTCGGATTTGTTTTCTTCCGTCTTTTTCGTGTAGTCCGCTTTCCGATCTCGCCACTCGGAAGGCCCGGGCCTCCAACGCCCGTCTTCGGACGTCTTTTTCCTAACCGTTCATCTTCTTTACGGTCTTCGAGCGGAAGATGCCAACGACCGCCCAAGTCCTCTGTTTCCGTACGGTACCGGGCTTTATTTTTATTTTTAACTCTCCGTCCTGTGAACACTAAGAGAGCCTTTTTTTAGCCAGCCCTTTTCTTACAGTATACGAAAGAATTATTTTCATTTTTCTTAGATTAATTGGCCCCATAAATACGATATTTGTGTAAAAAGGTTAACAGATATAATTACTCGTTTCGGAAACTTTATAAACAGAACAAGATAACGGCGGTCACGCTATCTTCTTCGGCTGTCGTAACCGTACAGTACGTGTGGTTCTTAACCAGGAGTCTGTTCAAAACGAGTCCCCAACGAGTCCTTAGAAAGTTTTCGGGAGTCCGTGGGCTTGGAAGGATAAAAGTCAACTTTTATTCTTCCAAGTCCCCTTTTTAATTTTGTGCTATTGCTCGAAATTGCTATTTATCGTGTTAAGAAAATACTGTCTATATTTCTATATAATTGGTTTCTTTTTGTCATTTTATTTTATGAATTTAAAAATATTATTTCGAGGAGGTCCCGTGATCTAGAAAAGGAGATTAAGAACTTCTGGTTAGTAAATACAGAGATCGGCACCAAAATGGCGGATTCTTAGCTCATCGAACTGAGCAGTTTAAACATACGGGGTCGTCCATAAATTACGTAAGGGCAATTTCGGCCATTCTAGACCCCCACCCACTCCTGTGTAAGAAACCGTAATATTTTCTTTGATCCTCTTCCCCTTCCCTACTTACGTAATATTTTGGCATGATTTTATAGAAAGATTGTAACCAAAAAAAATTTTTTTATAAAACCCTAAAAACCTTAGGTCCAAAATATATAATTATTAATTAATTAATTAATATGTACTATTATTTATAAAAGACTTTATGCGAGCAAATTTAAAAATATAAAAATTTAATGAATTCGAATGAACAATTTATTTTAAGAACTTTATTTTTGAAATATTAACAATATTATTATTATTATCAACGTCATAATATTTATTTTTGTATTAATTTTAATTTTCGCAAAAGACGCAAAAAACTTTTCCAGGTCGACTAGCTAATGCACGTGTAAACAGAAACGTCATACAAAATAAAACAAAAGAGAATAGAGAGAAACCACATTCAGTTGCCATGTCGATTACGTCTTGGCTAAGGCCAAGAAAATAAACTACACGCCGCTATGATATGCTAGGTGCACCCGGGGACTAAATAATAAAGCTTATAAAACTATATAATGGAGCAATACAACCGATGCTACTTTACGCGGCCTCTGGCTGTGTTTATGTAACTAGTAAAAATTCAGTAAATTGCAAGTAAAATTGTCATGCAAGTAAATTACTCTCTCTTCAAAGCCAGTTTGATATCAGAATTTCAAAGTGCTGCAGAACTGTTTTATTAAAGCCTCTCTGATACTAACATAGTGCCTTCCTTTGCCACTATATATTGTAGAAAAGGTTCTAAACTTCTACACCAGAACTACAAACGTCAAGGCTCAACAACGGTCTCTACTTCTATCTACGGCTGTTCGTACGCTACCACATTGCAATTACCCTACTATCTCTGATCTTCATCCCGTAAGGTTATTAGGTGTCATGCGCTTCCTCCAACACGCAGACATTAATATCTATACGGATGGGTCCAAAAGCTCCCTTCTTGTCGGCTCGAGTATCTGTATCTTTTTCCAAACTGACATATTTTGCCAAAAATATGTTAGAAGGTACAGATACCTCCCCCATACCTCCATCTATCGAACCGAAGAAGATGCCGACTACCAAGCTGTTCAGTGGGCCACTTCACTACCAAACGAAACTCTGTCTATCAGCTAATTGTAAAAGCCTTATTGTCCTTTTTAATTCTAATATTATTTTTAATTGTCTACTTGGACTTAATTTATTAATAGGACATAAGCTGGTGTTTAAAGATTGACACAGCAATGAGAGTTAGTTCAGGAAAAAACAAAATTTTTTTATTATATCACCTGTAGTAATAGTTTCTGGGTTTCTGCTTAGAATTAAAAAGGACAGTAAGGCTTTTACAATTACTTGTATTTTGAAATAACTCTTCTTCTTGTTTAATGCTGCCGAATGGCGTTTGCGACTTCATTTTGATATTGTTCTCTGTCTAGCACTGTGTGTAGAACTTGTGCTGTTGTCATGTGAAACCAGGTGTTGATGTTATCTAGCCAGGCCGTTTTTGGTCTACCTGGACGTTTCTTGCCTTCAATCCTGCCCTCCAGGATGAGTGGCAGTAGATGGTATTTTTGGTAGTTCCTAGCAATGTGGCCTAGATATTTGCATTTCCTGCTGATGATGGTTTTGATCAGGTCCCGGTCCGTGTGCATGTACTGCAAGACCTGTGCATTGGTTATCTTGTCCGTCCACGGAATTTTCAGCATTCTTCGGTAGAGCCACATTTCGAAGGCCTGGAGCTTTTTTGTAGTGGCTGCTGTTAGAGTCCAAGTTTCTACACCATAGAGTAGAATTGGCCAGATGTAGCATTTCAATGTGCGTAATTTGAGCATGATATTCAAGCTTCTGTCGGTAAGGAGTGTTTTCCATTTGGTAAATGCCTGCCTGGCTTGTTCGATTCTGCTCTTGATTTCGGTCTCGTGATTCAGCTGGTCATCAATTAGTACTCCAAGATACTTGAAGCGGTGTACCTGCTCCAACTTTTCGTTATTTAATTTGATCGTGATTTCGCTAGGAGTCCTGCTGACCTTCATCACCTTTGTTTTCTTTTTGTTGATTCGTAAACCCCATGCTTGACTTTTTGTGTTCACTTCATTCAAGATAGTCTGTAAATCTTGTTCGGAATCCGCTATTAATGCTGTGTCGTCGGCATATCTTAGGTTATTGATGTAGTGTCCATTAACTTTTATGCCGATCTCGCTGTCGGCCAGTGTTTGGTCAAAAATCATTTCCGAATAGATATTGAAAAGAATGGGAGATAATGGGCAGCCCTGCCGGACGCCTTTTTGTATTGGGATTGGGTCTGTCAGGTCGTTGTCATAGCGGAGCCGGGCTGTTTGATTCCAGTAGAGAGTGGTGATAAAGTTGATATCGTTAGTTTCAAGCCCAAGTTTTCTCAGTTGATTAATTAGGCGGCCGTGGTCCACTGAGTCAAAGGCTTTCTCATAGTCAATAAAACATATGTACACTTCTTTTTGATGTTCATAGCACCTCTGTAGCAGTATTTGTAAGCAGAAAATTGCTTCTCTGGTTCCCAGCCCCCTGCAGAAGCCAAATTGTGTGTTTCCTAGTGCACTTTCGCATTTACATCTTATTCTTTGCTGAATCACCTTGAGGATGAAATAACTCAACAGCCGAAATTCTGGTGTGCGAGAAGATGCAGAGTGAAAAGTTATCAGAGGAAATAGAGAAGTTAAAAACAGAAATCTGGTATTTAAGAACTTGCAAAAGGGAGCAAATCAGATTACCAACATTGAGTTTACCTGTAAGTATAAGCAGAAACCCAGAAACTATTACTACTGGTGATATAATAAAGAAATTTTGTTCTTTCTTGAACTAACTCTCATTGCTGTGTCAATCTTTAAACACCAGGTCAATTATGTTCAAAAAAATATGGAAGAAAAGACTATTTATAATTTATAATTTCTAGTTTTGCATTTTAGTTTTCACTAAAAGCCGAATACTAATTTTATGTTTACTTTGTATCGTGTATTTTGATTTATGTAACCGTTATTCTCGTAATTATTAACGACTGATAGATATACACGGTGCTGACAGACCATAATATGAAAAATTTTAATACGGTTTGTCGTTTTCAGTTTTCGCCAGAGAAATAAATAAACAGTTTATTATAAAAACAAAATCAAAAGATTGTAAGAAAAAATTCCAAGTTTGGCATACAGTAGGTGCAGTAAGAAAAGGTCATTTTTGTCAACTTTAATGAATTTTTCGTCCGTTCTTTATTTGTCGTCTTTTATTAATTCTTCAAAATGTACAACTTGATAAATGTAAAAAGAGTTTCGAATATTTAATGTTTTACAAAGGCTTTCTACGAAATAATGATTTTAAAGACGTTAATCCTAGCATAGATTGTATTAAAACTTTTATTACGCAAAGCACGCGTAAGCCGTATAAAAGCTAAAATTGTCACTCGAGGCTTGTAAATGTTTATCGAATGAAAGATGAAAAATTACAGTCGACCCCCTATAACGTACGTTCCTATAACGACAATTCCTATAACGTAGCGAAAAAATTGTAGCAACTTTCGTATAACGTACCTCCTATAACGTCGTTTCGCGACAAGATTGATAGAGTCTGGACCAATAGTGGATGAGCAGCCGAACTACTTTCCTCCGACCCTGCGCCACGCTACGGAGCGGCTAAATTGAGTTTGCTATCGTCTGTTTAGTATTATATATAAATTATATATAAATTAGGTACTGTACATATAATTATATATTAATTATATATAAATTAGGTACTGTATATATAATTATATATTAACTTAATTTATTGTAACTTTATTATAATTATATATATGCTTTCTGCCGCCTGGCAACACGCTACGGAGATTTTAGGCTAGTAAGTTGAGTTTATTATCGTCTGCACAGTATGTAAATTAGGTACCGTAAGTCTAATACAGCACTAATTTTATACATTTCTTGTGAAAGAAACACTTCTTATTCAACGTCCATAAAAATTATTTATATTAATGATGTCTCCAAAGGTCAAGTTATTTTTCCGCCAAAAATTCGTTATCAGAAATTGCGGCCGTCGTTTCGCGTGCTGTTCCGCGATGAAAACCA